ATATTCACTTATAGTTGACATACAGTATTATACAACATTAGCTTCAGGTGTACAGTGCAGTGATCAAGCCTCTTCCCCATCCATGATGCAAGACATGTGACCACCTAACACCCTACAAAATATTCACAACATTATCAATTACATTCCTTGAACTGTCCCCCATGTCCCCATGGCAACACTGCAGCTGCGTATTTATGCTGTCCAGCCCCCTTCCTAGAACTATAACTTTTACTTCACTGAACATAATTTACAGTGAGCATACTTTAAATGCTTAATATTTGTTAATAGTGATTCTCCCTTATTTGCCCTCAAATTATAATGAAGTAAGTTATCTTGAAGTTGGATTAATTTAAAATTCCATTTATGTTAATGGTTGTTTAGTATATTAATTATATAAAGGATAATGATATTTGAAGTATATGTTTCACTAAGTTATAAAATTATCTTTTTTGGAGACCTTTTAGGTTTTAATTTAATATAATTGCACTATAGGGCAAGTGTCAAGCTACCAATGCATATTGAGTTCTGTTAGAACTAATAAGTCTTGCTTTGTCAAGGAACACATGTGGAATCTTTTCTTTTTAAAACTATGCCCTAGAGTGTTAGTAGTAGTTTCTTTATTTGGCAGCTACAGAAAATTTTATTTCCACTGGTTGTAACTCAGTTGTTTTCTTTACACTGAATGTTTCTATTCATTGTAGGTAGGTTTAGATTGAAAAACTAATGATGGTAGTAAAGATCACATGAGATAATTTAAGGAATGGGAATAAGCAATTATTGCATGCCTACTGTGTACAAAATGCTTTGTCATTATTATCACTGCATCTAACATATTGTTACGAAATGCCAAGTGCTTTATATCTTTGTATATGTCAAAGAAGAAGTTTGGTCAATATTCTCTTGGTTCCTTAGTGCTATTTCCAGATTGTTACCTTTTCACTGTTGAAGCTTATGCTCTCCTGAGGAATAAGGCTCTCTTGAAGTTCATGGCACATTCCTACCACCTCTACGTTTCTTATTTCACATGCTGTACAGAACTCTTAGGCATTCCCATTTATTCAGTAAACACTGATATCTCAACTATTGTTATATTTCCAACCAAAGTCTTGCCATCATCCTAAGATATTTTAACATGCAAATGACTAATCCAGAATCCATTTGTTAAAAGACCGTTCTTGTACATTGTCAAGAATCAGTTGACCATAAATATGAGCATTTATTTCTGGAATCTAAATTCTATTTCATTGATGTATATGTCTATCCTTAGTACCACACTGTTTTGATTGCTGAAGCTTTGTAGTAAATTTGAAATTGGGAGGTATTAGTCCTCCAGTGCTTTCTTTTTCAAGATTTTTTGTCTATTTTGGGTCTTTTCCATTTCCATATGAATTTTAGAATGAGCTTGTCAATTTCTGTGAAAAAGCTAGCTAGAATTTTGGTAAGTTTTACATTGAATCTGTAATCAATTTTGGAAATATTGCTATGTTAACAGTATTAAGTCTTCTGATTTATGAACATGGAATAGCTTTCCATTTATTTAGATCTTTAACTTCTTTCATAAGTCATTTTTAGTTTTCGGAGTACAAGTATTGTACTTCTATTATTAAATTTATTCCTAGGTATTTTTTTATGCTGTTGTAAATGGAATTATCTTAATTTTATTTTTAGACTGTTCATTTTTAGTGTATAGAAATACAATTGATTTTTGCATATTGACCTTGTACTTTGCTAAACCCGTTTATTAGTTCTATTAGTTTTTTAGTGGATCCCTTAGTATTTTCTATATGTGAGATTATGTCATTGGCAAATGTAGTTTTTATTTCTTTCTTTTCAGGATGGATCCTTTATATCTCTTTTTCTTGCCTAATTGCCTTGCAATGACCTCCAGTGTAATGTTGAACACCAGTGGCAAGAGTGAGCATCCTTATTTTCCTGATTTCAGGAGGAAAGCATTCAGTCTTTAACCATTAGTTATGATGTTAACTGGGTTTTTCATGGATCTCCTTTATCAAGTTGAGGAAGTTCCCTTCTAGCCCTAGTTTGTTGAGTGTTTTTATCATGAAAAGTGGGATTTTTTTCAGTGACTTTTCTGAGTCTATTGAAATAATCATGTGATTTTGTCCTTTATTCTATTGATATGGTATATTACATTAATTGTTTCTCAGATGCTAAGCCAACTTTATATTCGAGATAAATCCCACTTGATCATGGTGTATACTTTTTTTTTTAAAGTATGTTGCTGGATTTAGTGTATTATTATTTTGTTGAGGAATTTTCTGTCTGTATTCCTAAATATTGGTCTGTAGTTTTCCTGTGATGTCTTAGTCTGGTTTCGGTTGCAGGGTAATACTGGCCTTGTAGAATGAGTTGGGAAGTGTTCTTTCCTCTTCTATTTTTGGGTAGGGTCTATGAAGAATTAGTATTAATCTTTTTATAAAATATTTGGTGGTATTTATCAGTAAAACTATCTGGGCCTGGCTTTCTTTTGTGGGAAGTTTTAAAATTACTAATTCAATCTCTTGTTATAAATCTTTTCAGGTTTTCTATTTCTTCTTGAGTCATTTCCAGTAATTTATATCTCTATATGAGTTCTACTTTTACCTGAGTTATCTAATTTATTGACGTACAGCTGTTCCATAGTATTTACTTATAATCCTTTTTATTTCTTCAAGGTTGGTAGTGATGTCCCCTCTTAAATTCCTGACTTTAGTTATTCGAGTCTTCTCTTTTTTTCTTGGTTAGCCTAGTTGAAGTTTTGTCATTTTTGTTAATCTTTTCAAGAACCAACTTTTGGTCTTGTTGATTTTCTTTATTGTTTTCTGTTATCTATTTCATTAATTTCTACTCTGATCTTTTTTTTTTTAAAGATTGTATTGGGGAATTGGGGGAGGGGGACAATGTTGGGGAATTGGGGAAGGGGAGCAGACAAGTTGTTGTTCTTCAATCTTTGTTGTGGAGGGCGCCAGTCGCCATCTGGCTTCCCGTTGGTAGTTTGTGGCCTCTAAGCTCAAGGTGCTGTGTTCAGTCTTAGTTGCAGGTGGACGTAGTCACCATCCCATGCAGGAGTCCAACCAGCAGCCTTGTTGTGAAGAATGCACGCTCTATCCACTGAGCCATCCGGGTGGCAATTCAGCTCAAGATGCCAAGTTCAGTCTTAGTTGCGGGTGGGCATAGCCCACCATCGAACAGGCAGTCTTGTTGTTGCTGAGCCATTTTGCCACCTGTTGGCAGCTCAGCGACAACTCAGCTCGGGTGCAGCATCACTGGCCCATGTGGGAATCGAACCAGTGGCCCTGTTGCTCAGAGCTCGTGCTCTTAAGCCAACTCTTAACCAACTGAGCCACTTGGCCGAACCCTCTACTCTGATCTTTATATTTTCTTTTTTTCTACTTACTTTGAGTATAATATGCTCTTCTTTTTCCAGTTTCTTAAGAAAGGAACTGAGGTCATTGATTTGGTTAATTGAGAGTGGGCCATGCACCAGAGAGGGTTCTAGGTGCTGGGAATATAGGGGTCAAGAAGACAGAGGTTTCTGTGCTCATGGGCCTACATTCTAGTGGTGGGGGTGGAGGAGTAGAGGGAGGATGGGAGTGAACACAATAGACAGAAGTAGCTAATAATTAAAATAACAATAACTAATGATTATGTTTTCTTATTCTCATTTTCCCTCTCTCTCTCCCCCCCACTCCCCCATTTCTCTCTCTCTCTCTCTCCCCAGAGTGCCTGTTCAATATTTTCTCACTCTACTCAAATCTCCTTTTGCCCATGTCACTCTTAGTGATGCCCCTGCCTCCTAGCTTCACAGAGAAAATAGAAGCTATGAGATGGAGCTTCCTCCACTTCTTGTGACCCATCCTGCCAGCCTGCCTTATTTGGCATGCATCCTTTTTCACTTTTGCATTATCCTTTCTGTAACAGTGATCGTCCTCACGTTTTGGACTAATTTTAATTCTTTCATATGTTCTTAGGAGTCTCTTCTTCCTTCCTCTTTGGGGGCTTTGCTCAATTGATTATATTTCTCTCTCCTGGACCTTAAAAACCATTTTAATATCTTCTTTACAATAGCGTTTAAATGTTGAAGTTTCTTCCCCCCCCCCCAAAAAAAAAATCCCTGCTTTGATCCTGCTTCACTCCTGCCTTTCCTGCTCTTCTGTGATTGTCATCTCTCAAAGCCAGATTTCTGGAGCAGGTTGCCTGTCTTTTTTTATTTTTTATTTCTCTGTCTCTTTAACATCCATTTTAATATCTTCTTTACAATAGCGTTTAAATGTTGAAGTTTCTTCCCCCCCCCCAAAAAAAAAAATCCCTGCTTTGATCCTGCTTCACTCCTGCCTTTCCTGCTCTTCTGTGATTGTCATCTCTCAAAGCCAGATTTCTGGAGCAGGTTGCCTGTCTTTTTTTATTTTTTATTTCTCTGTCTCTTTAACATCCATTTACTTCCTAACCAACTGCAGCTGACTTCTGTGTCCTGTATTCTACTGAAACTATGCTTACGAAGGTTGCTGATTTCCTTCACTGGTATAAATTTTTTGCCGCTATCTTAAATTATATCATTGTTTCTTATACCTAGTTTAAAAACCCTGCTGCCTTAGAACCACAACAGAAATTTTTTAAAAATAAAGGAACATGAGCCCTGACCCCTGGAGATTCTGATTGAGCAGGACTGACGTGAGGTTCTGAAATCTACTGATTTCAAGTTCCTCAGGTTATTTCAGTGTGCAGCCAGAACTGGGGAACACTGTTCTCCAAAATATTTAATATAGTTCTTATCTAACCTAACTAGTGTTGGGTATGAATTGATACTGTAGACTCTTTCTTTTCTTTTCTTTTTTTAATTAATTTATTTTATTTTATTTTTATAAAGTGAAAGAGCAGTTTATTAGAAGAGAGTACATTTCAAAGAAATAGAGGTATGTCTGAGCAATAGAGAATGGCTCAAGGGCCATTATTAGAAGAGAAAGTACACTCCAAAGAGTTGGAGTAGGCTGCGCAAAAGAAGGAGCTCAAAAGACCTATTTTTTTTAAATTAAAGTTTACTGGGGTGACAATTGTTAGTAAAGTTTCATAGGTTTCAGGCGTACAGTTCTATATATCATATTGTGTGTTCATCACCCAGAGTCAGTTCTCCTTCTATCACCATATATTTGATCCCTTTTTCCATCATCTACCACCCCCTTTTCCCCCTTACTCTCTGTTAACCACTAACCTTTTGCCTTCTTTCTTGAACCCTTCTTTTCGAACCCTTCTTTCCTTGACTTCCTTAATAGCAGATTTAGCAGTCTCCCTCTATGCCCCTCCCCGCCTCTTCTTAACGCTCATACTTCTTCAGCCATTCTTCCTTAGTCACCTTTAGATCTTCCTGACAACCCCTTAAGAGCTCATGTTCTTCGGGGCCTTTTCTTATCACTAGGCCTTCTCATATCAGTCTGTATGCCTCCCTGATAATCTCAATCATTCCCAAGCTTCCAGTTATAATTTTTTAAGTTGATCATTTTCAGATCTGTATCTCCAGCCATCTTTTTTCTGAGCCTCAGATTTTTATATCCAGCAGCAGCTTAATATGTTCAAAACAAAACTCCTTTCTACCCCCTAAAACATGGGTTTCCTCCTTTTTTCTCTGTTTCAAATAATGGTACTACTATTTACCTAGATGCTGAAGCCCCAAACCTAGGAAACACCTTACTTTTTCTTTTCCCTCAAAATTACAAATGCACGTTTTACTTAGCGGTCCTGTTTTGGGAATTTATCCTACCGACATACCTCATACATACAAAGGAAACTGTCTATGTACTGAAAAGACTATGATGATGAATAAAAAAGTAAGAAACAGGACAGGACATACAAGTATATGCTACCTTTTATGTAATAAAGGGGACTATACTAAAATATAATTTAAATTTTCATGAAAATATGGTCATACATATATGTATATTTTCATAAACAAATCCTCAAAGGATGCATAAGAAACTAAAGAACCATGTTACTATCAAACTTTAAAAGATTATCGATGGGAAACTTCCTATATGATCATGTTTAAGTTCAAACTAAGCTTTCAAACTAAGTTCTAAGCTGAGAGCATGTTCTGAATCAATATTGTCTATATTTTGGTTTTTGTTGTCAGAAATATCTCCTATTTTTATTTGTGACCATTCTAGTCTTTGGCTAGTATCTCACCTGACTTGCTTATGTGACACAACCATTAATTACCCTTTCCTGTTTGTTCTACAGGTGGTATCTCTTAGTTCATAACTACTTATGATGTGTTTGGAATTGACTTCCTCACTCCTATCATAGTGACAAGTCTAATGTTTTGGGTTTTTAAAAAAATTTTATTGGAGAACAATGTGTTTTTCCAGGACCCATCAGCTCTAAGTCAAGTCATTGTTTCAGTCTAGTTGTGGAGGGTGCATCTCAGTGGCCCATGTGGGAATCGAACTGGCAACCTTGGTGTTATAAGCACTGTGCTCCAACCAACTGAGCTAACTGGCTGCCCCTGACAAGTCTGATATTTTCTATTCTTGGCTTTTGGTTTCGTTTGTTTGGTTTTAGGAATGATTTTTTTCTTCCATAGTGTAGCATGAGAGATAATCCAGCCATCCAGTATATATGTTTAAGATGCATTTCCAGTGTAAAAGAGGAAATATATTCATATAAGTCACTTATTTGCAAGGGCTTTGGACCATTGGTACTCCTTCACTATCAATTAGAAGTCTAGAAATTCAAAATTCATATAATTGGAATAATTTACAATTAATAATATGTCTTGCTTTTTTAGCTTTTGTTTTACATGCACTTAGAGGAGATTTTTATGGGGCAGAATTGATGGGGTATATATTGGGTTGTCGGAAAAGTCACAATGTATTTTTTCTATGTTTTTCATTGCAAAAATGTGTCATGACTTTTTGGACAACCCAATAGTATATCAAAAATGACTTTATGAGCCACATACTCATGTGTCTGATAACTGAAAATTATGTGTGTGCATTTTTATCATGCTGTCAAAACAAAAAGTTAATTTTGAGGCAGTTTATAAGAATACAAAATGCTGGTGTTTTATTCAACTTATTTTTATGTTGCTTTTATTATTTTCAGAATATTAAAAGGTGGCTGTAGTAATACTTAAATTAAAAAAAAATTCACCACAGGTTTTTATTTTCCTTTGAAAACCTATTGCCAACTGTCTCTGGTTTATTTGTTTTATAAAGGTGTTCTTAAGGACTATTTAAGAGAACTTCCTTCTCCTCTGATAACAAAGCAGCTTTATGAAGCTGTATTAGATGCAATGGCAAAAAATCCCTTGAAAATGTCATCAAATGGTTGTAAGAATGACCCAAGTGACTCTAAGTACACGGTTGACCTGCTGGATTGCCTTCCTGATGTTGAGAAGGTAAGCGCATTTTTCCTGAAAGCCAGCTAAGGAATTTTATACTTAGCTCCAGAGTTACAACAATTGTTTAGCTATTTTGACATTTGTGGCACTCGTGAGTTTTAGCTCTGTCTTTACTAAAGGCTTCTTAAACACTGTAAGTCTAGAAACTGCTTCTTAAACAGAATAAATTGAGAAAAAAATGTTGTCTTTTCTGTATATGATTTTAGCCTAGGCATGAATACTTCCATAAGTTTTTAAAGAGTATCTTATTATTAAAATCATATATGTTTATTATAGAATAACTGGGAATATATAGAAAAGAAGAATGGAAATTACAATGCTCAAAATCTAAAGGCAGCTATTGGGTTGTCGGAAAAGTCATGGCATAGTTTTTCTGTTTTTCATTGCAAAAATGTGCCATGGCTTTTCCGACAACCCAGTATAATTAACATTTTGATTTATTTCCTTCTAGTATTTTTAAAATATGGTAACTGTTTTGGTGCACATGGCTAGCCTCAAGACTTAAGCACCCTCACCACCACCGTTTCTTTCCTCCTTGCCTCTTCCCCTTAGTCCCCTCCCCACAGCATAAATCTTGGGACCAGTGTCTGCAGAACCAGTCCTAGCCAAACTTTTAGCTGTTGTTTCTTAGAACAAAAGGGAAACTAAGGGAAAAAGATGTGGTTGCACTTGTCCAGATACAGCCGACTTTACCTATATTTCTTATAATGTGAGGGCAGACAGGGCAAGAGTTAGTGGGTAGAAATTTAAGGCCAAAAGCTTCATTCGGTAGTTTACTGCAGTTTTTCTGAATGTCCTGTGTTCTGTCCAATTAGATTAGACATTACTACTCCTTTGGGCAGGGGGAAGGAGACAGCTATAAAGAGGTGGGCAGATGCCGAAGGGTGGGGTGAAGGGGTAGAAATATTCCCTCACCAATAAAAGGTATAATTATAAGTGTCATTTTATATGTAAGTGAAGAAATGAGTGTCAGCAAATTTAAATTACTTGCCCAAAGTTATATAGCTTTTGTGAGTGTTATAATCTGTGACATGAATTTAGGTCTGTCTGGCCCTAAAGCTCATACATATATTAACATCTTTCTAAAAAGTCTGCATAATATTTCATTGAGTGGATTTGACATATCACTATTTTCTTTTATATAATATGTAGGTTTTGAACCTATATGTATATATTTGTTCACAGGTTTTTTTTAATCTAGAATTACTTATTTATATAAGAATCCCGGTGGAATTGCTGATTTGAATGATGTGAACATTTTAAGGCTCTTTTTTTTTTAAGGCTCTTAATACATATTTTTAGATTACTTTTCAAAATGGGCAAAACAATTACATTTTTTGGCTCATCTTATTTAGTACACAAAAAAGGATTTCTTAATTTTAAGTTTTACTTTTTGGTTTTCTATTGAAAGTGAATCTAATATAAACGTGTGTGTGTATGTGTGTGTGTGTGTGTGTGTGTGTGTGTGTGTGTGTGTGTGTACCAGTGTGTGGCAGGTTTTGATTTCAAAATATCAATTATATTCTTCTCTAGCTTTCATTTTATCTTCATTTCTTCCCTGCACAGCCAAACATTGAGAGAATGTTTATTCCGGCTGTCATCACTTCTTTACCACTCATTTACTACTCAACACATTGTAATCTGGCTTCCTACCCTATCTCTCTGGACTTGTTCTTGCCAAGGTTACTAATGACCTTCTAATCACCAAATCCAGTTGTCACTTTTGGCTCCAGAACTATTATGTCATTTTGTTTTTCTCATACTATTTTAAAATTACTGGTTTAGTTTTCATTCATTTCTTCAAAACCATTTTGAAGAAGAAATTACACAGTCATTTAATTTATTAAATGATTGATCATATGCCACTACTTCAAAATAACATCACTCCTTTCCATAATGCCTTAAACCTCAATAACCATTCCACTTTTTGATCAAACTCTCCTTACTAGTTTCTTCAAGGATTAAAATTTTTTTCAATAAATTTGCTTTCCTAACTATACTATGCTTCCCTTTTCCATGGGTTGTCTACTTAAAATATTTACTGGCTAAGAAGGACATTGTTCTTTTTCCTAATCTGGATCACGATAGAACCTGGCCACGTTCTGAAATGGTTAGCTTCCTAGATTTAAGGGTGCTGGTCCCCTACTTATGACTACAGGATTTATCTGTACTTACAAATGAACACTCTTACCCTAATCCCTTTTTCATCCTAGCCTTTGCTGTTGTTATTTTAGGGTAGGGAAGGAAGGAAAACATTAATGGCATATTTACCTCAGAGCTCCAGCTGAAATTTGGAATGTATTCATAGGCATTTTATAAAGAGTGTATATTTTAACCGTTTAGTGAATCGAATTATGTCCTTGGAACCTTTAGGGCCCTTTGTAACATTTCTATAATAAAATATGCTTCAAGTTCCAAACATCCAACTTACAAGCAAATCTTTGAAATAACCTTTTAAAAAGTGACAAGATGCCTATCTGTATTTTCTACTCTAAATTGTGTTCATGAATTTGCCCTTATATAATGGTATTAATTGAAATTTAATTTAATTTAGGCAACCTTAAAGATGTTGTTGGATCATTTGAAATTGGTGGCTTCTTATCATGAAGTGAATAAGATGACCTGTCAGAATTTGGCCGTGTGCTTTGGACCAGTATTATTAAGTCAGAGGCAAGAGACTTCCAACCATAACAACAAAGTCTTTACTGATTCCGAAGAACTTGCAAGTGCTTTGGATTTTAAAAAACATATTGAAGTTCTTCATTATTTACTTCAACTCTGGCCAGGTAAATGATTCTGTAGAAATATTTTTCTCTTTCAATGATCTGACTTTGAATAAGCTAATCATTAAATATGCCCATATATGATCGAAGGAAATCTTTTCTAGATTTTGCTTTTTTAAATAGTAGTGAATTGAAACCTACCCTTTAGATTTCTCCATTTAAATTTGCTGCTTTTGCTGATAGTATTATAGACATATAGGTCAATGTACATATTTTGGACTTGGTCAGATCTGGATTTGGACCCTGGATGTGTCACTAATTAGCATTCTGACCTTGGGCAAGTTCCTTAACATCTTAAAGCCTCAGTATTACCTTCTGTCATATGGATTTAATAATGTGCTTATAGAATTTATAGGAGGATTAAAGAAAAAATTTTGTATGTAAGGTGCTCCGCACAGCTCTTGGCAAATAATAGGTACTCAGTAAATATTCATTGTTTTACCCTTCTCATTTTCAGTTCAACTGGTATGAAGCAGAATTTATATTTCACCTTAAATCAGTTCTTCTTCCTGACATCTTTACTGTATTCATGATTATTCTTGAAATTATATGGGCTTGAGTTGACAATGATCTCTAATCTTTTCATCTTTCTTATTCATCCCTTGTTTCAGTCGGTAACGAAAGGCTGACAGTTATTTTCCTAATATATCTTATATAGTTTCAGAGCTAACAGGAATATGTGTTTAATTTAATTAGATGTTCTATAAAAGATCCTGTATTTAAGTTCCAAAAGTTCCTTATCCTGCAGTAATCCTGCTCCCCTTTCCCACCCTGCAAAGGACAAAACACGAAAGTACGGACTTAACATATTTAGTGACGTGCACAGAGGTAAAATTACCTTGGCCCCAGAGTCAGGCTTGGATTCGGGTCCAGATTGTGTCACGCATCAACAGTGTGGGCTCAGGCAAATACTTTGGTTTCCTGAAACCTCAGTTAGCTTCTCTATATAAATTGTGCCTCCCTCAGAGTTATTGTGAAGAGTGAGATAAAGCATCTGAGGCAATGAGCAATGCGTTCAGCATAAAGTTAGCCCCCAGTAAATGTGCTTTGTTACTCTTTTATAGATATATATGAGAAGGAGAGATCAAAGTACAAAGGAATGCTTGAGTTAGTCTTTTAAAATAAATCTAGTTTTGGTCCTGCCGAGTGGCACGTTGGTTAGGAGCTGGCTTGGGACGCCAGCTCTGAGCAGCAGGGCCCCGGATGCTGCACCCTCTACAGCTAAGATGGTGAACAACAGCTCAACCTGGAGCTGGGCTGCCGTGAGTCACCAGTGACGGCGTAGGCTGCAGTGGGGCTGCAGTGGGCTGCTGTAAAGCTACCGTGAGTGGCTGGCAGCCAGCGTGAGCGGCTGGCAGCAGGTGTGAGCTGCCAAGAGCCGCCGTGAGCGGCTGTCCAGAGGCCGGCGACCGATCTGCCTCACCCCGGGAAGAGCGCAATGATAATACCAACATGGGCCAGTGAAGCAACGTCCTCCACAACTAGACTGAAGAACAAAAGGACAGCAACTTGTCTGTTCCCCTTCCCGCAATTCCCCATTGCTGTTCTCCTCCCCCAATTCCCCAATAAAATCTTAAAAAAACATAAAATAAAATAAATCTAGTTTTAAAAAGTGACTTAAAAATTAAGCTAATAAAAATTTTCAGCTTTTAAATTTGGAAAGTTAAAATTTTTGCTTTCTTTTAAACACAGGCTTAAAAATCTTCTAATTTATATTTTTAACTGAATTAGTATGTATTATTAATTACTCAAAAATCCAGAGTCAAAGAGTCAGTTATTCATAAATTCAGAGTCAAGATTCTCTGGATAATGGATCTGATTTCATCATTTGTTGCCCAACATAAGGGATCTCTCAGGTTGAAGTTTCAATGTGTGTTTCCTAGCTTTTCCTAAAACTGCTTTAACTCTAAAAACATCAGAAATCGGGAGAGGAGCCACCCTATCATTCTAATCACAAATGAAAACTTGCTTGCCTGGAGATAGTATTAAGTTTATTGTAAGTACCTGAGTCCTTGATCATTAATTCTATACCAGAGGTAAATGTTACTTCATTATTTTGTACTAGCCACCTTAGTTGTGGGTGTAGAGGCAAAAATTAACTTAAACCCTATCTTGTAGAAAAAGCAGATCTAGATTTCAGATTCACTGTATTTCAATGACAACCTTAAACAGCTGACTCCTAGTTTAGTAATACTTTATTCCAAAGACTTGTGGTGTTGGATTTAAAAATATCTGCCTGCTTTTATATAACTTTTTCTTTTTCTTTAGTTATATGTAGTACCTCAGACAAAGGACAGAACAGAGCAGAAAGATGAGAGGAAACAGCAGTTAGTTTTGCCCTCTATATCATTTGATTTTGAATTCAAGAAAAGGCAGAAATCAAATAGATGTAATGTCGTTACTGAGTCTGAGAAAATTGATGGTGACATAGAGAATGGGCCACAGCATATTGACTTGGTGAAGGCCTGTCTCATGTATTCAGTAGGAGGTTTTGGCTTTCCTTGCTATGCATAGCTTATTTTTCTTTTTGGAATTTCCCCTACTCCAGAGGTAAAAACAGTTGGTTCCATTCCCCCCACTCAGCTTCCTTTTTACTTGCTTAACTTTTTGTTTTATTTTTTGTTTGTTTTGTTTACTTTTAGGCAAGCTTATACCTTGCTTTGAGCTTTCCATTTAATAAATTTTGTCTTTAGGGTGATAAGTTAGAACTCTAGCCTATTGGCACTGGAAGTTAAAAATCATCCTGCCAATGGTTTTCCAGATTGCCTTTTGCCAAAGCGCTAAGGTTTGTTTGGAAGCAGCTTTGGGGCCAGATTGGCAACAAATGGGGGAATAAAATGGAAACACACTTCCCTTTTGACCCAAACAGTCTTTTCATCTTTTTTATTTAGTGGGTTTTTACAAAATTGTTGCTTTTTGAAAATAGGTTTGCTGTTTTAAGAAGAATATTGAAAATTACTGCTTGGCCACTATAGGCCGTCTTTATAGATGGGGAAATAACTTTAGAGAGAGTGTACCTCCAGACCAGCTGTTTGCTGTATCACATTTTCTATTATGAGTAGATTTGGGGCAGGTTTTTTGAAAAAGCTATTAACTTTCCCTAATCCTTTTTGTTTCATTTTTCTCACTAAACTAAACATCCTGAGATCAGGGACTACACTTTACTTACTCTTATCTCCCAGGTCATAACAGAGCACTCGGCACTAACTAGACAATATATTCTATTAAATGAGGCAATTATACTATGAAATATTTTATATTTTTATGGTGATTAACAATATAAATCTATTGGTAGAAAACAAGATAAGAAAAGTAAGTTTTTTAGTACTTACCATTATATTTTGAAAGTTTTTCAGCAACCTAATAGGCTGCATTTTTCATTTTATTCTGTTGAAGGTGGGTAGTCAACAGTGCGGAAAACTAGAACTTTTCTTTTGAGGTTATAATTAGCCATTTTATCTGCATAACTAATAGGAAACAGTTCCACCATCAGTAGTTTAAAAAGTGAAGTTAATTTTTCAGAATTGAATTTTTAGTCTAAAAGATATAAATATTATTATAATAGGTTTTGTAAATAATTTCCAAGAAAATAATCCAAAAGTAATGTTTGAATGAGGACTTTGTTAAATGACTTTAAGGAGGTGGCAACGAAATAAATCTGAGTTTTGCAGGTGAATGTCAGAGAATGAAGGCACAGAAGACAAGCTTAAACAGAGTCAAAATGTTTTACTTTGGATCGCAAAGCAGATGACCTCAAGGTTAGCAGAGCTGGGTTGGTGAAAACAACAGGCATGACACTTAAGCACTAACAAGGGCAAGAATAGCCAGAAAATGAAGGGAGAAAAGCAAGGACACTTAGTGAAGATCAGCTAGAGGAGAAAAAGGAACATAAATAATTAAACAGTGCAAAAATTTAGATATCCATTCTGCAGTTACATTAGTTAATGGCATGGGACATTCTGTATTAATACTGTTATTAAAAATCAATTTAAAGTAATACCAGACCTTTATTTTCTAGAAAATTTTAAGTTAAGAGCTTTTAGCTATTTGTAACGTTATATGACAACCATTATGAAAATGTGGATAAATAGAAATGTTAAAAGAAAACATACCTATATACAGTTATCAAGTATTTTAATAAAATCTAAGTAAAAAAAGTATGTGATTTCTGAAAAATGCTGTGAATATCACTGTAAGTCTGGAAAACTAGAACCATATACATGTTTGTATTGTTTTTCAATTATTTGATTTTGTGAAATAGGAAACAAGCATTCAGTGTATCTTGGAGAGGGCGAAGTTGGTGCGTTAATTGAAAATATGTTCCCTTTATCTGAGAGAAGGGAAGTATAAATGGAGAGGCACTTATTAACAGAGAATAAACAAGCAGAAAGGAAAAGGTATTATGGACAGGTTTTAATAGCTATGCCTCAACATTTAAATTAAGTTTGTTTTATATACAGAAGAGTCTTAGGTAAATGTTTTGTTCAATATACGGGGAAGAGTAAATGGTGAAGCCTTGGTTCATTAGGAAATAATGTGTGTCTCTATGGTTATCTGTACGGCCAGCACAAAGCACACCCTTAGAAGAGATAGTCTTGATATGAGGAATGTTATTTGAGATTGTTAGATACCTCACCGGAATGGGAAAATAAAATATCTGTACTATTTTCAGGAAATAAATGAAGACTATTAGTAGCTAATGCTGTATAATCGAACTCAGGTAACAAGTGATCAAGTCTAGTATTCGTGCATTTTATCAAAGTGAAATTTGGGCTGCTTAGTAAAGTAAATTATGACACTGCTGCTAATAGAACTGCAAAAAAAACCCCACAAAGGTCAGAACTTTTGGAGTGAGCACTTTAGATGCCTTTGCCTCATTTGGATGTTTGCAGACAAAGGAACTTTTTGTTTTGTTTTGTTTGTACACCAACATGCCTTGCCTGCTTTTTGCTGTAGCTTTTAATGTAGAAGCTACCAGCCTAGCTACTGTTTGAATTACAGCTAGATAATAATTAACTTGCACAGAAAGTTAATCAACATTGGAAATTTGATTTGTTTGGGGGTGTTATGATATAGCATGAATTACCACCACTGAGCATTCTACTAGCTTCTCTCCCTAATCTTGATTATGTCTGGTGATAGAAAAAAATAATTATGGAATGCTTTCTTTTGATAGTGTGCATGTTTTTGTTTTAATGCATGTTTTGTAGTTGATTATTAAATAGCTTATCTTTAGCTCTGTTTTTTTAAGGCCAGTTGGATTACTATCACAAAGCAAATTTATTGTTTGTTTCTAGTGCAACGTTTAACTGTCAGAGAATCAACAGACGATTTGTTCCCAGAGCACAAGTCTCCTCTAAATTATTTGAGGAGGAAGAAAGAACGACCTTACATGTTAAATTTGAGTGGTACTGATTCATCAAGAGTAGTCAGGCCACGTCAAAGCAGATTAGACAGTCCACTTAGCAATCGTTATGCAGGAGACTGGAGCAGCTGTGGAGAAAACTACTTTTTAAATCCAAAAGAAAATTTAAATGATGTGGATTATGATGACGTCCCTTCAGAAGATAGAGAAAATGGAGAAAATTGCAGCAAAATGTATGGACCAGATATAATGATTGAACAGCCAATTCCCATGTCCAAAGAGTGCACATTTCAGACATACTTGACAATGCAGACAATTGAGTCTACAGTGGATCGAAAAGTCAATCTCAAAGATCTACAAGACAGTATTGATACTTTGATTGGAAATCTGGAGCGTGAGCTCAACAAAAACAAGCTTACTATGAGTGTTTGAGATTGAGATTTTTTAAATTAGGTTTTCATAATGTTTTAAAGTTTCCAATATTTCTCACTTTCTTATACCTCTCACAGTAATGTTTTATTTTTTAAATTCTTGAAACCTCCAATTAATTTTAATAAGTTAAATGTGATTCAATTAAGAATACCATTCATTAATATAATTTTTGCTTATCTCATTAGAAAATTTTTCTTGGGGTAAAGATAACCTGGACTGCTTGTGAATATTTTAATAAATCTTGCCAATTCTATGGAGATAACTTTAAATGCACTTATAAGGTTCATATAAGTTATTAGCATCTGAAGATTTTTGTGCTTTATAGGAACTGCTCTTCTGTAGCTGAAGCAGATGTTCCTTTGAGAGGAACATTGCAGCTGCTCAGTTACATTTGCAGTATGAGGCCATTTCACTGCAACATCATTTGTTCACATTTCATTTGCAATGCAAATGCTGCTATAAGAAAACCTTTTTATAAATAAAAGTAAAATTATGCAAATATTAATGTATTCTATATTAACATTCAGTAATTATTTAAGCTTATAAAAATTAAATATTTTTATAATCCTGAAAATATGTATATATTTATAAGTACATATATGTATAGATATTAGAATGGGGGAAGCGATTGGCTGCAGAATCACATGTATCTTTAAAGTATGTATGTCATGAGGCCAAAATCATTAGCTTAAAAATGTCTTTTTCAGGGAAAGAACATTTAAGTTAAAGGAGGAGTTGCATAGAAACACATGAACCAAAACACTAGTAGACTCATCTGAATAGAAATATTTAATAGAGTTCCTTTTTTTGATTTACAGAAACTCACAATATCCCCAGTGAGAAGTCATCTTTTAAATTGAAATTCTCTAACTTCTAAGTTATAGAGGATTAAGTGCCCAGATTTCTTCACTGGTGACAGATTATAAAAATCTTCATTTATTCTATGCATTTTTATGTTCTGCTTTTTAAAAAAAAAGTAATTATACATAAAGCGTATTTATTTGTAGTAGTACATTTATAACATTGACTTTATAATTACCCTCATTTGTTTCTAAAGAAATCTTGCCAGCATACTACATTATTGATTTTTAACTTATTTTGGCTAAGTATATTTACAAGGTAGTCATTATAGCAATCACAGCAGTGTTTGAAAATGTACATTTAGAAGACTTTTTTTATTAAATTGGAATGTATTTTTAAAAATTTTTATACCTACAGAATGTGTAATTTTAAAATTATAAATAAAATTTCAATTACCAACTTAAAGATGTAGCAGCCATTAAAAAACCAGACTTCTTGATGTTTTTCTAAATATGAAAGTATTTAACTATTTCTATGCGATATACATTGGTAAACAGAACACGTTATTTAATTTGAAAACTCAATTGTTAAGAAAAACAGATAAATTATTTTTATATGAAGTTTTCATTTTTTAAAGCTTTGTATAACAGTCCAGAAGAATACCAAAAGAATATGTGACAGGTATATATATTGAGTAAACAGTCAAAAGAAATGTGCTTTAAATAATTTGTAAGGAGATTGTCTCAGTCTTCTTCCTTTTGTTTGCTATATCATGTATATTATATGAATTGAATAAGTTGTTCCAAAAATGTAAAAGTTTTATTAAAATATTATTACCTTGGTGTCATGCTATTAATTATAATGATTTTAAGGCTCACTTATTTTAAGGTCATTCTTTTTAAACAAACATGTTAAAGTATTGGACTGTCATATATTATCCATAAATACATGTAATAACTTTTTTTTGTTCAAAATTGAATTTTCCAGAATCTGATATACTTTACAGGCCATAACTTATTTTGTTACATTATTTTGGATGGGAATAGTTTTAAAGTTTATCTCTGCCATTTTAAATAGAAAATTCAAAATGTTTTTGTTGTCTAGATCAGTCATAAATATAAACCTCTGTGATTGACTGCTGTATTCAGTAGTGCTCAATAAGTTTATGCCTTTATTTTAAATGGCTTTTTAATTCAAATCTTTTTTGAATTTTTGTACCTGCATTTTATAATCTCCTGGGATCTTCCTACACAGTTTGTCAGTTGTCATTCCTTTCAAAGCCTGCCAGCCCTATTGTTTTTTAGGATTAAGAACAATTTTAATTTTAGTGCATGTACCTGAATAAAAATTTTAAACAATTCAGGTGGATAGAAACTAAAAAGTAAAAGTGTTCCTTCCTACACCAGTCCCATTTCTCAGAAGTAACAACCATTTTTTAAAAAAGTTTGTTGAGGTAACATTAATTAATAACATAATATAAATTTCAGGTGTACATTTTTATTCTTCAGGTACTACCTCCATCACTTGAGGTTTATTGCTACTGTTTCTTGATTTGTCATTTAAGCAGTGTCTGTTGATTGTTCATTATGAATGACAAGCAATTTAGCTCATTCCATTTCTTTTCCCCATTTTATGTTTTCAGCTCTTTTGGCTTCCTTTATAACTTTAGTAATGTTATTTCTTGATCTGTCAGTTTTAAACAGCATCTCTTGACTCCCGTTGTGGAAATGACCAACCCTGTACTGTCCAACTCATTACTGCCTTTTTCCACCTAACTTCTCTAAGTTATACTATTAGTTTTTATAATCAACATAAATAGATATATAAAAACTTAGGTTTTTCCTTTATATATTGATTCTAAAAGCCACAAATCAATGACTAGCAGCTATGTGCTAGGTTATGCAAAAGTATTCAGAGGTAAACCAGGTGATTTTATCTCCTACATATCCTACATATTATATCCTAAAGTCTATGCTGATTTAAGCAGAATATTCCATGCTAAAGGTCAAATGGATTATTTTATCTTATAGCCATCAACTTCTCCAAATCATGCTGTGTGTTATTTGCTTCATAATTGGGTCATGGCTTTTGGAGATTTTTGGTTTTCCCTGGAGTAATAGCTGGGTTTTTTTT